TTGATGATGGCCATTCTGACTGGTATGAGTTGATATCTCATTGTAGTTTTGATTTGCATTTCTCTAATAATAAGCAATGTTGAGCATCTTTTCATGTGTTTGCTAGCCATCTGTATGTGTTCTTTAGAGAAATGTCTGTTCCTCTTTCAAGAACAAATTTTTCCATAACCACAAGCTTTTCTCCAACTCTTTCCACCTTAACTAGATTTAAAATTCCTCTCATACTTCTCTCACAGCCCTCTCAGTAGAAATCTGTTTTTCTTATCAATACCATTGTCACAATTACCTCAAAGATGTAATTATGTCATTCCCTGCCAATAAATTCATATATAGTACCAAAGTGAAAGCTGCTCAGTCATGTCTGACTCTTTGTGACCCCTACGGACTGTAGTCCATGGAATACTCCAGGCCAGAACTGTAGTGGGTAGCTGTTCCCTTCTCCAGGGGATCTTCCCAACCCAGGAACTGAACCCAGGTCTCCCACACTGCAGGTGGATTCTTTACCAGCTGAGTCACCAGGGAAGCCCATATAGTACCAAGTAAGTCCAAATTCCATAATTTGGCTTCCAAAGCCTTCCATAATCTGTCTTCAATATTTTCAGCCTATTACTCATATATATATATATATATACACACACACACATACACATATGCACACACATACTCAATGTACCAAATAAAGTAAGACTGTTTGCCACCCCTCTCAGATATCTCCTGAGTTTTCTAATTCTGTCTTGATTTATGCTGTTTTTGGCACCCAAGTGTTTATTGGAAATTCTTACCTCAAGGAAAGTTCTTCCTTACAAAGTAATGCCATTAAATAAATACAGTTGACCCTTCAAGACCTCTGTGATCTGGGGTGCCCACCCTCCCTGCAGTTGAAAATCCTCATATAACTTTACAGTCAGCTCTCCATATCAGTGGTTCCACATCCTCAGATTCAGTGAACACATGTAGTATTCAATACTCAGTTCAATTCAGTTCAGTCGCTCAGTCGTGTCCAACTCTTTGCAACCCCATAAATGTCAGCACGCCAGGCCTCCCTGTCCATCACCAACTGCTGGAAATTACTCAAACTCATGTCCATCGGGTCGGTGATGCCATCCAGCCATCTCATCCTCTCTCATCCCCTTCTCCTCCTGCCCCCAATCCCTCCCAGCATCAGGGTCTTTTCCAATGAGTCAACTCTTCACATGACGTGGCCGAAGTATTGGAGTTTCAGCTTCAGCATCAGTCCTTCCAATGAACACCCAGGACTGATCTCCTTTAGGATGGACTGGCTGGATCCCCTTGTAGTCCAAGGGACTCTCAAGAGTCTTCTCCAACACCACAGTTCAAAAGCATCAATTCTTCGGTGCTCAGCTTTTTTCACAGTCCAACTCTCACATCCATACATGACCACTGGAAAAACCACAGCCTTGACTAGATGGACCTTTGTTGGCAAAGTAATGTCTCTGCTTTTTTTTTTTTTTTTTTGTCTCTGCTTTTTAATATGCTATCTAGGTTGGTCATAACTTTCCTTCCAAGGAGTAAGCGTCTTTTAATTCCATGGCTCTCCTAGGTATTAATTGGAAAAAACAAAAAACCTTGTGTATAACAGGTTCCCTGGTAGCTCAGCTGGTAAAGAAGCCACCTGCAATGCAGGAGACCCCAGTTCAATTCCTGGGTTGGAAAGATCCCCTGGAGGAGGGCATGGCAACCCACTCCAATATTCTTTCCTGGAGAATCCCATGGACAGAGGATTCTGGCAGGCTACAGTCCCTGGGGTCAGAAAGAGTTGGACATGACTGAGCGACTAAGCACAATGTATAACAGAACCCATGCATTTCAAACCCATGTTGTTCAAGGACCATTTGTGTATGAAGCAGTTAGGAAAAAAAGCACCATTTTGCAACCATAAGAATACAACTGATTCAGGCAAGAATCATCAGCTGATAAATTCAGAGGGTTAATAATTTATGAGGAACAGGCCATTTCATGTAATTTTAAAGTATTATTCCCACAAACTACTTATTAATTATAAGAGTAACTAGCCTGAAGAAATAAAAAAACCACTCTAACCAATTAATCAAAATTAGTATCACCAATAAGGGGCAAATACCATATACCTCCAGATTTGATGGCTTGGAAAGATACTGTATCACCTATGTAGAATTCCAGTAACAAATGCAAAACCATGAGGAAACATTAGGGAAATCCAAACTGAGGACATTCTATCGTATAAAATGACCTGTATTATTAAAAAGTGTCCAAAATGTTATTCAAATATGTTAAATGTGAAAGACAACAAATACATGTAGGAAAGGACACGGAGAAAAGGGAACCCTCTTACAATGTTGGCGGGAATGTAAGTTGGCACAGCCATTACAGAAAACAGTAAAGAGTTTCCTCAAAAATTAAAAATAGAACTGCCATAAGACCTAGCAATTCCACTTCTGGGTATTGTCTGAAGAAAACAAAGACACTAATTCTAAAAGATACATGCATCCCTATGTTCACCACAGCATGGTTTACAACAGCCAGGATATGGAAGCAACCTAAACATCCACTGATGGATGAACGGATAAAGATGTGATACAAATATTTACAATGGTGTATTAGTCATAAAAAAAAAATGGAACCTTGCCATTTGCAATAACATGAATGGATCTAGAGGGTATTAGGTAAATAAGTCAGAGATCAACAAATATTATATGATTTTACTTCTATGTGGAATCTGAAAAAATAAACATAACAAAACAGAAACAGTCATAGATACAGAGAATAAACAGGTGGTTGGCAGAGGAGAAGGAGTAGGGGGATGAGTGAAATAGGTGACAGAGATGAAAAGATACAATCTTCAGGTTTGTTACCTTCACAGGTAAAAAATAAATGAGTCTTGGGGATGAAATGTACAGCATGGGAAATATAGTCAATAATATTGTAATATCTGTGTATGCTGACAGATGGTAACTAGACTTATTGTGATGATCATTTTGTAATGTACAGAAATATCAAATCACTATGTTATACACCTGGAAATAACAGGGTTATAGGTTAACTGTACTTCAGTTTATTTTCTCAATTATTTTTTAAACTGTAGTTGATTTATAATATTTCAGGTGTAACTAAGTTATATATACATACACATATATGTACTTTTTAAGATTCTTTTCCATTATAGGTTATTATAAGATGCTGAGTACAGTTATTATAGGTTATTGTAAGGTACTGAATATAGTTCCCTGAGCTATACAGCATGTCCTTATTGTTTATCTCTTATATATAGTAGTGTATATCTCTTAATCCCAAGTTCTCTACACTTCAATTTTTAAAAAGGTTAAATGTGAGCGATGAAGAAAAACAGAAGACACCTTTTCCATGTTAAAGAATATTAAATACAATACATGCTTCTTGACTGGATCCTGAACTAGTGGAAAATGCGATAAAGAACATTACTGGGAAAACTGATGAAATTATAGATGCGGACTACAGATTTAGAATGTGTGCTTAGTAATAATTTACTGAAGTAAAGAGCTTTCATTCCAAGAATCCACATACATCCCCACCACATCAAAGGAATACACTGATACATATGCCTGGGAAAAGAAAATGACAGGGCTAATATGCTGAAACAGTGTCTTCAGCACTGCAGATTCAAAACGACCAATTAACAGTGCTGATAATGTTCCACGAAACCATTACCACTCACCTTACTTCAAGAACAAACATGGATTTGGGTCCTCATGTGATTTTTCAATAAAGGCTTCAAGATTCTAATACTGAACAGAAGAAGTTTAGATGCCAAAGAATTGCAAAAGACTGTTATCTATAAAAATTTTACATTCTTAAATTTTACCGAAAAATAACTAAAAACACACATTATGATACCTTTTGAATTTGAACACTAATAGCTTTATTTAACAGACATTGAATGACTACTATGTGCAAAGCACTGTGTTAGGTGCCGTGAAAGATACAAAGATGAAAAAGACACAGTCCCTGCCCACAGGAGCGTATAATCTAGTGGGGAGACCGACAAATACACAAATAACGAGAATACAAGGCAGTGAACAACAGAGTGGACAAGTGCTGAGTGTGGCATTAACTAGCCTCAAGGTTCCAATTTGAAACACTGGTGATGTAGAGTTAGCTGCTTTGAAAATCCCATTTCAAGATGAGCATAATAAATGTTTAAATGGTCCTATCCAAGCAGCTGGAGGCAAGACAATAGGCCAGGTGGAAGGGCTGTTTGAAAGACTGTCACATTTACATATGTGGTGCTGACACAAGTATGCAGGGACAGCTAAAAAAGACCGTATATATCATCTGTCCTTTGGTTAATGGCTATAGCTACTGTTTTAAACAATATACTTTTATATAAAAAGGAATTTGTATAATTCCAGAAAAGTCAACTTAAGGATTAATATTAATTCAACAAAGAATCTTGCCATAGGCAATTTTCTTATTTACTAATTGATTAAGTATTTTCTCTAAATATCTATAAAGCTCTGTAGCAATTAAACGGTTAGACATCTAAGTATTGCTGAGTAAAAACCTCTTATGTTTAGCCTTCGGAAGGAAATGGTCACAAACCTGATAACCTGATATAATACTACTCTATTAGCAACAAGAAGGCCTTAAAGAGATTTAAGGAAAATAATTTTTAATGCTTCAATGCAAATGGAATACACACTGATTAAATACAATTCAATGTTCTTTGAAAATATCTCATTGACAGCATTTGATACCAGTTAAGGCCAGCAAAACTGAAGTGAGGAAAACACCACATATATTGTCTTTCATTGGTTTCATATATAATTACCTATGACAATGGCAACTCAATTTTTTCTTTGAAAATTCCATTTATTGGTACCGATGAGCTCTGATTTGCTTTTAACTAGTATGCTTAAAAAGGGCTGCTGGCCACTTCCTCTTGGTGGTGCTGTCTGGCATAAACGGCAGAGAAGAAACACGTTTCTGGCTGTTTTTCCTGCTTCCTGAATTGGAGGGCTCAGGGCTTAGCCTGTTTCCTTCAATGTGTCACTGTGATCCTGGGACCTCTGCTGCTTCCGCTCCAGGAAGCGAGCACGTGCGTCTGATATGGATTTATCATCATTTCTTCTTTGCATTTTCTTTAGGACTTCTTTGGATATTCCATCTGAAAACATTACAAATTAATCCAATAAAATTTTAGTTTTGAGTTCGGTATTACAAATGTTAAGAGAAAGAGATGCTCTGGTTTTTTAATGTTTAGCTAGGGGAAAGAGGAAATTAAATTTTGCCCTTTAAAAAGAAATGATACAAAGTCTCTGGTTAAAAATAAGAGTATAGAGGCCTGAGAAGTCAGAAAAATTGACCCTAATTCAAGCAAGTGGTGCAGTTATTACGGTTGCTGCTGTTTAGTTGCTAAGTCATGTCTGACTCTCTTGCAACCCCACCAGGCAGGCTCCTCTGTCCATGGCATTTCCCAGGCAAGAATACTGGCGTGGGTTGCCATTTCCTTTTCCAGGAGGATCTTCCTGACCCAGGGATCAAACCCCCGTCTCCTGCATTGGCAGGCAGGTTCTTCAGCCCTGAGCCATGAGCGAGCCCACAGTCCAGTTATACACTGTGATAAAGCACCGAGCAGTTAGCACTGCCAATGACACTTCTGTCATCTTGGGCAAAATTCCCCCCATTCTATTTCCCACTGATGTTAAATAAGGATGATGCTATTTGTTCCATCAGCCTCAAAAAGTTTTGCTGAAAAGCCTTTTTTACATGTGAGCTGAGAATTAACCTTTCTGTCCTAGTTCACTACCACAACTGTTTATGCCTCCTGAAGGAAATGGTCCAAAAAAGCAAAAACTAATGAGACAACTTAGTCATTTTATAGTTAAGTACAAAACTTTCTGGTTGATGAGTAGTAATATTAACTACTGCAATTAGGGGCCTAACATTTCAAGAAAAAAAAATCTCTTGGGGGAAAAAAAATGTTCTGAGGTAATATTTCACAAAATTTTTAAATGAAATAAAAATAGTAAAGCACTACTGGCAAGCAGTATGGCGCAATGGTTGAGTAGAGGCCACAGAATCAAATTTCCTGGACTCAAAATCCAGATTCACCAAATATTTGCTTTGAGATTTTCAGCAAATTATTGTACACTGCTAAGTATTTCCTCAGCCATAGAGTAGGGATATGTAGTCACTTCATATAGTTATTGTGGAAATTTAATGGGGTTATATAAGTTGTTAGCACATGGCAAAAGTTCAATGGATATTAATAATACTGCTGCTGGACAAAGAGGGTAAGAAAAACACGACTAACTGGAAGGAAAGAAGGGAGTCAAAGTACGTCTGAGGCTCATGACAATCTGCTTTTCTGAGGAGTCAGAGCCGGAACCTGAGCTCTGTGACAGCATTTCTGCAGCTACATGAGAATTTGGACACCTGTCCTCTAGAACAAGTGATTCACTCACCCTTCCGGTGCTTTACATTTTCCTTATTGGTCCATCTCCTTCGTGCATCTTCTCTCACTTCACGTCGGGCCACACTGCTCAAATCATGTGCATTAAATTCATGCAACTTGGGTAGCAAGTCTCTCACCCATTCATAACGAATTGGACACACAATTCTTGCATAGACTTTGGTGGTAACTAATACCTCATGAAAAATGATCCATTCAAGTTTGGTTTCCTGTTCATGAAGCTACACAAAAGAATTTGTTTAAGGATGACAACTCAATAACCTGCCTTATTCCAGATCAGACCAACCAAACATTAACAGCCTAAAGTTTTCTGAGTTAATTTCTATATTCTTCAGTCAAACAAGAGGCACACATTGACCAACACCTTTATGTAATATAGATATATGCTAAACATATCCTCACATCTCTTTTTTCAGAAAAAAAGTAGAAGACATCTGTATTTTACTTATTTCTACATCTTTACAAAAGGAAGAAATTTATACAGCTTCCTTTATAAAAGGAAGAAATTTCTTCCTATTAGTAAAAATTAAGGTACTTACTGCTGAGGAAGGATGAATATGAACTGGGCTTCCACGCCCATCCATTGTGCAAAATGTTCTCCCAACAGACCTAAGAACCAAAAAACCAAAGGATCAAAGACAAGAACAGTAAAAACAATTAAATAAGTAGAGCACTACCAATGAAAAAGTATATGTCCTACTACAAGGAGTACTATATGGAGAGGTTTATATTTAACTGTCCCTGTAACTTCTCTACCAATTCATCTTAAAACTAATGATTCAGGGAATTCCCTGGTGGTCCAGTGGTAAAGACTCTGTGATCTCACTGCCGAGGGCCTGCATTTGATCCCTGGTCAGGGCACTAAAATCCCTGAAGCAATGCAGTGCAGCCAAAAAAAAAAAAAAACTAATGAGACAACTTATTATAGTCATTTTACTTAAGTACAAAACTTTCTGGTTGGTAAGTAGTAATATTAACAATAATATTGTATTTGTGCTTTAGAATTTCCAAAATGCTTTCACAATGAAGCATCAAATAAACCTACTAGTTTTGACAGCCAGATACTTTATTAAAAGATCAAAACTGAGATTCAAATAAATTAGATAGCTTTCTCAAGGTCAAAGAGCTAATGTATGGTGAAAGCAAGCCCCAAACATAGGTCTTTGGACATAAATACAGTATTCTTTACATTGTATTATACTACATCTCCTTTCAAAGGTATAAATCATTTTCACCATTCTAAAATAGACAATTAGAACAGTTCATCTATAATTTTTCTTTTCTTTATATAATTTTTCTAATTCCTATTAACTTTATAAATTCTTACCCTCTTCTATACTTCCTACATAAAGGTTATTCCAAAAGCTTATCAGAATAAAACCTTAATAACACAACTGATTGCCTATAAAACTTTACATATATATTCCTATTATAACCCAGGTCAGACTGTATTATAATTATTTGTATATATATCTACACAGTCCATATTTGGACAGTACAAAAATCTTTTCACTTGAATAATTTGAAAGTTAGTCACCAATCTTATGCTCCATCATCTCCAAATACCTAAGTGTGCATTTCCTATAATCAAGAATATTCTCCTACATAACCATCATAAAACCATCAAAACCAAGAATTAACACTGACACATTCAGTTCAGTTCAGTCGCTCAGTTGTGTCCGACTCTTTGCGACCCCATGAATTGCAGCACGCCAAGCCTCCCTGTCCATCACCAACTCCTGGAGTTGACTCAAACTCAAGCCCATGGGGTCGGTGATGCCATCCAGCCATCTCATCCTCTGTCATCCCCTCCTCCTCCTGCCCCCAATCCCTCCCAGCATCAGGGTCTTTTCCAATGAGTCAACTCTTTGCATGAGGTGGCCAAAGTACTGGAGTTTCAGCTTCAGCATCAGTCCTTCCAATGAACACCCAGGACTAATCTCCTTTAGGATGGACTGGTTGGATCTCCACTGATACATTACTAGGATCTAATTCTCAGGACCCACTGAAGCTTTATCAAATGTCCTAACAATATCCTTTATAGCAAAAGGACCCAGTTCAGAAATCATGTATTGCCTTTACTTTTTATGGTCCTTTAGTCTCCTTCATTCTGGAAAATACCCCCCAGTCTAGCTTTGACCTTCAAAATCTTGACACCTTAAAGGATTTATAGGCTAGTTATTTTGCAGTATGTTCCTCAATTTGATTTTGTCTGTTTTAAGACGATTAGACTCAGGTTACAGATCTGTGGCAGGAATATCACAGAAGAGATGCTCTGTTTTCATTACATCCTATCAGAAGGAACAAGATTTTGATTTACTTCATTTCTGATGTTCACTTTAATTGTCTGATTTAGGTAACATCTGCCAGGCTTCTTCACTGAGAAGTTAACTTTTTCCTTTTGTAATTAACAAGAATTTTCTGAAGAGGTGCTCAACTCTGTAAATAATTCCATTTGTCATTAAACTTCTAATTTATTCATTCATTCATTTATATGATTATAGGCCCAGGATTTCACATTTTATCCAATCCATTACTATCAGTATTACGCATGTCAAAATATCCCATCTTCGATCAGCCTGGGCCTATTCAAACTGGCTCCTCTGTACTTGGTCACATGGCCTCCGCCTTCACTGATGACCACTTTGCTTACAGGTAAAATAAGATGTTTTGGGCTTACTGTGTACTTTCCCAGACCTATTTCTCCAAAGGTCCTTTATGTGGCAGATGGTTGTTCCAAGTCAAAATCTATGCAGAGGGACTTCCCTGGTGGTCCAGTGGCTAAGAATCAGCCATGGAGTGAAGGGGACATGGGTCTGATCCCTGTCAGGGGAACTGAGATACCACATTTCTCAAGGTAGCTTTCTCAAGATCAAAGCGCTAATATAGGGTGAAAGCAAGTCCCAAACATAGGTCTTTAGACTTAAATACAGCATTCTTTACATTTATTATATTACATCTCCTTTCAAAGGTATAAATAATTTTCACTATTCTAATATATGATAATTAGAACAGTTCAGCTATAATTTTCCTAATTCCTATTAACGTTAAATTCTTATCCTCTTCTGTACTTCCCTACATAAAGGTTATTCCAAAAACTCATCAGAATAAAGCCTTAGCTTAATCGTTACAACTGGTTTCCTATAAAACTTTACATATATTCCTGTGGAGCAACTGAGCCCACGGGCTGCAACTGCTGGGCCTGAATGCCACAACTAGAGAGTCTGTCCACGTGCCACGATGAAGGATCCTGCGTGATCCAACAAAGATCACAAGTGACGAATCTAAGACCTGACACAGCCAAAAAAAAAAAAAAAAAATCTGGGCACAGAGTATATTCATTGCTATTATAGTTATTGCTCCTAGTCCTTCTCATAGTTAGCTTACATAAATATTTACAGACACACAAATACATATCATACACACTCACACACAGAGTAACACCTATTTTTTCTTACAGTATCTACCTATCCATCCACTTAACTGTATTAAAAACTGTAATATCAGTGTGGGGGTGCGGGGTGGGGGAAAAAAAAAAAACTGTAATATATAAAATTTCAATCAATACCACAGGGCTCCTTCCTGTTTTCTTTTAGTATTTCTAACTCCCTTCACCATTTACTTTAATGTATTCAAGTACGTGATCAACTCCTCTGTATATAACTAATCTCCCATCACCAACACTCTTACCCCTTTCCCCACAAAGATGCCCTTCCTCCACTCAGACTCTGACATTCAAACAACCAAACAACTCCCATGTGACTACCTCGCCCAATCCTGCTCCAGAACTGACAGCCCACACCAAACCATCCTTCATCAGGGACGCCACCCTTGACCTATTTGGCTTTCACACTCCACAAAGAGTCACTCCTCTGCAAGAAAACCACTGTCCCTCAACTTGGGCACTAATACCCCAAGCTGGACAGCGGTCCTAGAGACTCCCCTCCTCCCCACGTGAGTTTCAATATCCCACTCTCAGCCACCACAGCTCCCCCCGTAGAGCTGACAGTTATGAGAAGGCTCACTGTAACTGATGTCATCGGAAGCACAGAGCTTAAATCAAATTGTCTTTAATATTAAATAGTTCAATATGGTCATCAAATACAGTTATATTTCTCTATCTGTCTCTCAAGCTCCTAGTGCTTACCTTCGAGCTACATTTTTGAAATAACCCGCACAAAGACATCTTCGCAGGACTTCATGTTTAGGGCCTTCAAAGGTCTCTCTTGGGAAATCACTTTGCTATTGACAGAATAAATGTATAGTGGTAAGTCTCACAGAACAATTTGAAACAATCTTTTGGTTTGAAAACTCCAAATTTCTAAAGACTTCTGTTTCTGGCCGATATGGAATATGAGGGACCAGATTTACCCTTCTGCTTGAAACAACCAAAAAAATGGACAAAACAAATGAAATAATGATTTCCAAAGCACTATATGAAGGGCAATGGTGTCTGAGAAATAAACGAAGGAAAAAAATGAATTAACTCCAACAACTGTTTCAGCCTACAGTCAACCTTGAGAGAGATTCGGGACCAAGGTGGAGGAAAGGAAACACTGGAGTGAAACCTGGAGAACTCCCTGAGTTAAACAGACAGAGCTGAGAATCCAGAGAGACCAGGATGGCTAGAATTCCCAGAGTTCAGGAGAGAAGTGATCTGCAGAGGACCCCGGAGATCTACAGGAGGGCTTCAAGAGTTCAGCTGAGAACTGACAAGCACATGAATGTGAGGAAATTACCCAAGGCCAGGAAAAGAGCCTCCCAAAAGGATAAGGGACAACAGAGTTGTGTGCACAGGGTCAGTGCCTGTTCCTACACCTTATAATACACGTGGTTTTAGGGAGAGAACTCAGAAGGCCTTGCCAAAACGCCAGGCAAGAGAAAAAAACCAAGCAATCACCTGTTTAAGCTTCCTGATCAGTTCTCTGAGTTGAGCTTCAACACGAAATGCAGAAAATAAGCACCTCCAATGAATCCAATGTTTCTGGCACCATGAAGCTGGAGCTCCACTGCAACACAAAAATACTGGTGTATCAAAAGTATCTTTCATAAGGGAAAGACAGTCTAACATTCTCATTTCTATTATACAACTAGAAACAGATAAGCAACTGTCAGCTCTCTTATGCTGCTGCTGCTGCTGCTGCTGCTAAGTCACTTCAGTCGTGTCTGACTCTCTGCGACCCCATAGACGGCAGCCCTCCAGGCTCCACCATCCCTGGGATTCTCCAAGCAAGAACATTGGAGTGGGTTGCCATTTCCTTCTCCAATGCATGAAAGTGAAAAGTGAAAGTGAAGTCGCTCAGTCATGTCCGACTCTTCGCGACCCCATGGACTGAAGCCCACCAGGCTCCTCTGCCCGTGGGATTTTCCAGGCAAGAGTACTGGAGTGGGTTGCCATTGCTTTCTCCGCTCTTTAATGAGACCTGTCCAATTAATAAGAAAACACTTTAAGGAATATGAAAAAACAAATTAATACACCTCTAAGTGAATTAAAATAACTTGTAAATAGATTTCTTTTTATACATATATGCTTTAACAAATATCCAATAATTTTCTCATCTAAGCTAGTTATACAGAACCAAAATTCCATGAGATCAGTTTGCAGGAAAGGTTAAGGAGAGAAAACACAATAAATGACGGTCACAGTCACCTCACAGAGAAATCTCACTAATGCTCACAAAAATACACTGAGGTCAGTATAATCCCCACTGAAACTTACTGTCTGAAGTCATATCCTTACTGAAGCTATATTTCAAACTAAGGCTCTCCAGTTCAAAGAACTATCTCACATACCTTGATTTGCACTGCTCAAAGATGACGGCTAAAGTTGCAAAGTCATTAAATCCTCCAGCTTTAGCTGCCAACTCTCGGTGTCTCTGCTCTGCTTCCTTCTGGTACTCTGGATCAACTAAAACGACAGTTGGAAAGGCGGTTTAGTTCCACTTTACCTCAAGTCTCTTTCTTCACTTAGTTTATTCAAGCTTGTTGAAATCTGCCTCACCCTCTGAGGTGGAGTAAAGGCGAATGACACTAACTCTTCGGTGGGGGAGTGTGAACCTCTAACTACTCCCACAATTCCTTTTCCTCCTTAATCACACTTTGGAGATTTTTGCTAGAGCAGCAACATTACCTCTCTTAATCGATTTACCTTTAAAAGAGTATTTAGAATTTACTATTTGTTTTTACCGTAAGAGTAACCCATGTTCACATTAAAAAAAAAAAAGCAGAAGTTTAATGTTCCCCACTTTGTCGCATTATCCACAAGTCAATCCTCAGGGCTAACCACTGTTAACTATTTAGTATGTGTCCTTTAAGATATTTTCTACATATATACATACAAGCATTGTGTATGATGGTTTATTTTCTTCTTAAGTTTCTTCTGATAACTTCTTTTATTTATTTAATAAAAGTAAGTAAGTATGTATAGAACTATTCATTCTCAAACATACCTACATTGTGTTTCTCAGGGGTATAAGGATATAACACAATTTAACCCGCCCCTATTTATCCAATTCCTAATTATAGACAATTAGACAGAACCATCACATATGTAAAACTGATATACTACAAACTTTTCTCTTTTAAACTACACAGGTTCTAAGTGTACTGCTCAATGAATATTCACAAATCCAACATACGAATGAATGTACTCAACAGACAGATCAACAAGCAGAATATTACCAGCATCCCAGAGCCCCTTGTTCACTCTCCTTTCAATAACTACTCAGTCCCCTCCACAAGGACAACCATATTCAGACTTTTAACCCAATGAAAAGGTTTATTTGTTTTTAAACTTTATATAAATTTACTTTATGTGTCTGGTTTCTTTTGCTCACCCTTATGTTTCTGAGATTTATCTGTTACTGACTTTGACCTAATCCCACTCAGGAATTATATGTTCTCTGATTGCCCAAATTCCCCACATAGTACTTTACCCAGGCTAATCTTCTTTCGGAGTCCCCTGGCCACAATTTTTTTTCCTCAAAATTTCCTAGGGCTTCTTCCTTCACTGCACAACATCAGGCCACAGCTCCTATTATACCCACCACAGCTAGACTGAACAGAGGCCCCATGTTGCCGAATTCTAGGGAGTAGCGCTTACACAGACTACAATGTGAATCTGCAAAGCATCAGTTCCTGTATTAGAAGAATGCAATCTGATTAAATAAAACACTCACAAATATAAAGTCTTCCATCCCAGGTTTTAAGTAGTTTCCACCTAAGTAACCTGGGTAACAACTCAAGGAAGCAGCTAGAGACAAAAGGAGAGCAAATATGATTTATCACAGACCACACAAATGGTCCTGTCAAGGTAAAGACACAACGCTCATCTCTTGAATCGGTCATGAGTATTGATTTTTTAAGCTGAAATATCTAATTTTGTCTAATTATCTAACAGTATCTATTTTATCTAACAGTATCTAAAGGTACTATGCCAAAGGACAAAATGCACTGAAGTAAAGCATTAACTATGTGTTGGCTCCAGCACTAAGAGACAAGCTTATCTATCAACCAGGGGCTCCGACGTCCTCGAATGGTGGTACCCCCTGCTACATAAACATAGAGCCCCTGCTGCCTCGGATTCTGCGCTATGAAGCCTCAGAGCAGCCTCTTTATGGTTCAGTTCTTCCCTTCTCTGACTTCACCTGACCCTAGAAACATTCAGTTTGGCTGCAACACCTACCACGACTATTCACACAAACGGCTTATCATTTCTTATTGAAATGTCAGAGTAACTCCAGTAAGGGCTTCCCAAATGGGTCAGATGATAAAATTCTGCCTGCAGCGCAGTAGACCCCGGTTTGATCAGGGCTCAGGAAGATCCCCTGGAGAAGGGCACGGCTGTCCACTCTAGTATTCTTGCCTGGAGAATCCCACGGACAGAGGAGGTTACAGTCCTTGGGGTCAAAACAAGTTGGACAATCAACTTTAGTGGTTACAATTCTAAACTCAGTTTACACTTTGTGATGATTAACTCTGCATGGTCAGTGTTGGATCTCTGTTGCTCATGGTGGCTGCCTGCTCACACCTGAAAACATGTACAGAGCCCCCTGCTTTCCGGGTTGTCCTTCCCACACAGCTACTACCTTCTCTCTCTCTCTCCCCCGTTATTCTCAAAGCCAAGAGAAAATATAGAGCATATTTTTCTTTCTTTTCCTCAACTCTTCCCTCAGAAACAACCTAATTAATTAAAATTAAAACTGACAGAAGTCCCAAAGTAAACTCAGGAAATGTAGAAAAGTAAAAATACCAATATCACACACAGTTCCGACAATCTCAGCCAGTTCATCCTCTGACTGAACAATAGTTTGACTATCTAACTTTAATTACTTTCCCAGTAGACTTGTCATTTCCTTTAATTTTTTATCTTTCCCCAGATGAAATTCTATTATCAGTTTTACCTCAGACAAATAATGCTCTGAAGTAAAAACCATCAACAAGGAACTGAAGCAGCAAAACAAGACTGTAGACTGTATCAGCTTAACTTCTTCCTTTGGGAGGATAATTCAATACTTTTCTACATACAATCAACCAGAAGACAAAACTATTACACGGAAAGTTTCAGTAACAACAATCCTCGGAGCAGAAGCAGGGGAGTGAGGCTGTAATAAAGTACCACTTATCTCTAAATATATCACAGTTAAAATATTTTTTAAAAATGTGAAACCAACACAATGTTATTTTAAATTTGTTCCATTTTAAGGGAATGCTGTTTACTATCTTAAAAACATTTAAGAGCCCTCACTCCACTGTTGGACTTCTAAAGCAACATCTATACTAGCAGACATTGTGTACACAGCTTACTATAGCGAGAGAGATTACTAAAAATGTTGACGGCATCATCATTTTGATGTTTAAAAATCTTCATTCAATGTTAGGTCTGAAAATACTAGCCAGTTTTACCAGTAAGTATAATAAACTGGGCTTGCCAGGTGGTACTAGTGGTAAAGAATCCGCCTGCCAATGTAGGAGATGGAAGAGACTTGGGTTTGATCCCTGGGCCAGAAGGAGGAAATGGCACCCTACTCCAGTATTCTTGCCAGAAGAATCCCACGGACAGAAGAGCCTGGTGGGCTGCAGTCCATGGGGTCGCAAGGAGTCAGACACAACTGAGCGTCTAAGCAGAGCAGACACAATAAACTAAATTAGGTGATCTACAAAGACTAAGACCCAAGCAAGAAAGAACTGCTTAACCTATAAAGACTACATATGCACTTGAAAGCAACTGGACGACAAATACATATTTTGGGATGTTACAAGATCACAGCAAGTCACATGCTCAAAAACTGAAGCTGCATTTTGTAGCAGCTGAACTTCTTGATCTAAGTTTAAAAATTAAGCCTAAGCCACATATGTGCATATAAGAAGAGTGTCTCTCTAAGCATGAATAAGAAACTGATAGCAATTGTTGCCTCAAGGAATGAGATTTGGATGAAGCCAAGGAATGCCCCTGCCAAGGTATCTAACTTTATTTAGATCAGCCTATGTAGCAATTTGTGCTCCAGGACACTGTCAAAAACAACAGATCAATCAGCTAGCAATCTGGGGAGACTAACAGCTTGGTGTAATACCAACAGAGGCAGGTCAGCAAAAATTGAAGCAGAGCAGCCAGACTTTAAAAATGGCTTTTATTGAAGTATAGTTGATTTACAATATTATATCAGTTTCAGATGAACAATAGTATAGTGATTCAATATTTTTACAGATTATACTTCATTTAAGTATAGTCTTACTATTATACTTTATGTTAATAATATAATGTTGGATAAGACTGTTGAGAGTCCCTGGAGAAGGCAACAGCAACCCACTCCAGTATTCTTGCCCGGAGAATCCCATGGACAGAGGAGCCTGGTGGGCTACAGTCCATGAGGCCTCAAGAGTCAAGACACAACTTAGTGACTAAACCTCCACCTAGATGGGTTAGCTGAGAACTGGAGCCACCTGGAAGTTAAGTGGGAAGTTGGACGGGGGTGCCGAGTTCTGTCTGAGGGAGACAGTAGCCTTGGACTGACCGGGGCAGGGAGCTGCCAGAGACACTGCTCAAGAAGTCGTTCCCAACAGGAGAAAGAGCAAGTTCAGATGTAGGCTTAGAAAAGCAGGCAACTTGACCCAAGACAGCAGATCAAGCCAGCCCAACTGGTTCACGAATGTAGTTTAATGAATCCGGATGGGAACAGAAATAGATGAAGGGACCACACAGTGACTGGAAGAGTGGAGAATGCTCAGCAGGGTCTGGCTGACCTCACCAGAAGCCTAGGCAAGGAATCTGGGGCCGGACAGAGAAGGGCCGTAAAGGCAACTGGGAAGTAGTTTGGGGAGGTTTTGGAAGGCAATCTGACTTCTCTTCAGAGGGTGTTTTGAGCTGGTTGGGTTAGCAGCCAAGAGAAATGGGACTGAAAATGGAATTGGGGCCTCCATACCCTTGGTGTCGGCCCAGCAAATATTTCTTAGTTGCCATTGGCCTGAAGAAGCTATGTTGTAAACGCTTTCATTCCTTTGTGTACTTTATACCTTTTTTCCACCTCCCCCCCCATTTCTTAATAAATGCTTTTTAAAAATGTGAAAAAAAAAAAAAAAAAGACTGTTGAGAGTCCCTTGGACTGCAAGGAGATCAAACCAGTCAATCCTCAAGGAAATCAATCCTGAATATTCACTGGAAGGACTGATGCTGAAGCTGAAGCTCCAATAGTGTGGCCACCTGATGCAAAGAGCTGGCTCACTGGAAAAGACCCTGATGCTGAGAAAGATAGAAGGCAGGAGGAGAAGGGGACGACAGAGGATGAGATGGTTGGGTGGCATCACTGACTCGATGGACACGAGTTTGAGTAAGCTCCAGGAGATGGTGAAGGACAGAGAAGCTTGATGTGCTACAGTCCGTGGGTCGCAGAGTCAGACATGACTGAGTAA